GGTCCGGGCTGGGGATTCGAACCCGCCACCTTAGGTGTACGTGGCTGGCGCCTTAGCCGGTTGAGCTATAGGCGCCGAGCCCCATTTTATTTTCTTATACTTTCAGTAATATAACACACATAATACACTACTGTTTACCCTATATATGAAGAATCAACCTAAGTCAAAATCCTTTTAGAATGCCAACGTCTATAAATGTGTTTTTTTGTTTTTTAGTTACCCTGTGTGGATTTTTTTTTCTTGAGGCAGAGTCTCACTATGTCACCCTCAGTAGAGTGCTGTGGTTTCACAGCTCACGGCAACCTGGAACTCTTGGGCGTAAGTAATTCTCTTGCCTCAGCCTCCCAAGTAGCTGGGACTATAGCTACTCACCCCAATGCCTGGCTATTTTTTGGTTCTGGTTGTCACTGTTGTTTGGCCCGCCTGGGCTGGACTTGAACCTGTCACCTCTGGCCGCTGAGCTAGGAGCGCCGAGCCTTCTTCTTTTTTTTTTTTCCTGAGACAGAGTCTCACTATGTTGCCCTTGGTAGAGTGCCATGGCTTCACAGCTCACAGCATATTCTTGAGTATAAGCAATTCTCTTGCCTTAGCCTCCCAAGTAGCTGGGGCTAAAGGTGCCCCCTTTGTGGATTTTAATTAAATTGGTTTTTTTCTTGTCAGTTATCTTTCCTTCTTTTCCTCATACTCAACCCCCATCATCAATCATTTCTTCTTGATTTTGATAGCCTAATTCAAACCAAACACAGGTCACCTTTCTTCTGCTATATATACAATTCACTCACATTAGTTCATGACTGAACTACGATAATCACAGTATTTTGTTATTGTTTCTAAAGTCACTACTCACACTTTTGTTTTTAACATTCAAAGTTACAACTCACGATAAGCTGCTTTCCTTCTGTTTTTAAAATCAAGCATTAAGGGTTATTCAAATAGTCACCAACACTCTTATCAAGTGTTGGCCATACAAAAATGAGTAAGGCAGACACAGTTTCTGCCATAGTGTTTACAGTCTAGAAGAAAGACAATAAATAATTATAAATAATTAAATTGTGACTGTGCCAACCACTGCACAGCAGTACAGTACTATTAGAATTGTGCTGAACATTTGATGATTATTCTTAACTAAAACTTTATAGTAAGTAGATTGTACACTCTTGACCTATTTTCAAAACTGCAGAAGCATTCCTAGCATCTTGCTAAAATCAAATTCTTGGCAACAAGAATTATACAGTAGGCCAGGCACAGTGGCTCACGCCTGTATCCTAGCACTCTCGGCGCAGAAGTGGGTAGACTGCCTGAGCTCAGAGGTTCGAGACCAGCCTGAGCAAGAGTGAGACACTCCTCCAACCTCTGTCTCTAGAAAAGAGCTGGGTTGGCTTGGAGTCTGTGGCTCAAGTGGCTAAGGTGCCAGCCACATATACCTGAGCTGGCGGGTTAGTATCCAGCCCGGGCCTGCCAAACAAGGACAGCGACAACCAAAAAATGGACGGGCATTGTGGTGGGTGCCTGTAGTCTCAGCTACTTGGGAGGCAGAGGCAATAGAATCACTTGAGCCCAGGAGTTGGAGGTGGCTGTGAGCTGATACCACAGCAACTGTACCCAAGGCAGCAGCTTGAGGCTCTGTCTCAAAAAAAATAAAAAAAATAAAAAACAGCCAGGAGTTATGGTAGGTGCCTGTAGTCCCTGCTACTTGGGAGGCTGAGGCAAGAGAATTGCTTGAGCCTAAGAGTTTGAGGTTGCTGGGAGCTATGACTCCATGGCTCTCTACCCAGGGAACAAAAGACTCTGTCTCAAAAAACAAAACAAAACAAACAAACAAAAAGAATTAGACAGTAGCACACAAGAAATGTCATGCTTTAGAATTAGTACCAGACTTTAATTTACATTTATTTATTTATTTATTTTTGAGACAGAGTCTTACTATGTCACCTTCAGTAGAGTGTGGTGGCATCACAGCTTACAGCAACTTCAAATTCTTGGGCTTAAGCGATTCTCTTGCCTCAGCGTCCCAAGGAAATGTGACTACAGACGCCAGCCACAATGCTGGGCTATTTTGTTGTTGTTGCAATGTTTAGCAGTCCTGGGTCAGGTTCGAACCCACCAGCCCCGGTGCATGTGGCGGGCGCCCTAACCACTGAGCTATGGGCACCCCGCCTACTTTTATTTTTTAATTTTTAAAAGAAGAGAATCATTTATTTTCTTTCTTTTTACAAATAAACATTTCCATAAGGCGAATATTCGATCACAGAGAGTCTGGGATACTTTCTGATCACACCCACTTTCACATCCTGTTGGTTATCAGAAACAAAAATTCTTTCCCACTTTGGAGATGGCCTAATTTTCTAAAGATTAAAAAAAAAAAAAAAAAAAGAATAGGCTCGGTGCCTGTGGCTCAAGCGGCTAAGGCGCCAGCCACATACACCTGAGCTGGCGGATTTGAATCCAGCCTGGTCCCACCAAACAACAATGACGGCTGCATCCAAAAAAAATCGCCGGGCATTGTGTCGGGCGCCTGTAGTCCCAGAGGCGGAGGCAGGAGAATCCCTTGAGCCCAGAAGTTAGAGGTTGCTGTGAGCTGTGATGCGCAGCATTACTACTCAGGGCAAAAGCTTGAGGCTCTGTCTTAAAAAAAAAATTAATAGAGGCTTCCTCCTCCACGTCAACAGCAAAACTTGCTGATTTCAAATTTATTAGATGACTTGATGCTCACAAGAACCTCAAGAGAAAGTTATGATTATACCTCTTACTTTGAGTGTCACGTAATGGAATAGGTTTCTCGTTACTCACCTACTAAATGTAGCAACTCCGCTCACACATGTCTGTCCCTTTACCCTGCTTTGCTTCTTTTCACAGCACTTAACCATCACTGATGTTGTCCCATGGCCCTTCCCTTCCTCCCAGGCCTCCAGAACTTGAACATCTGCAGACCATGAGTTCCTAAAATAGTGTCTGGGAATGACGGGACAATAAACATTTGTCCAAGGAAGGAAATAAGGAATCACAGGCTCCAAAAGGTTATACCGCTATGCTGGAGCGGAATAAAACTAAGAGGGAAGGAGGACTTTACCCCTTCAAGTGGGACGTCCCCGGCAGGACGTCGGCTTAGGCTTCACAGCACCCCTAGCAGCAGATGAAAGCAGCCAGGATGGGAAGGGAACAAAAAAACGAGTTCCGATCCCGGCTGAGCGTCGCTTTCTGGATCAGCCTGGCCGTACCTGGTACTGGGAGAGGGGGGGCTCCTCACTGTCCCCGCTGACACCCCGAAGGCGAATGACTAAGAAGGAGCTGCCTTCTCCGTCCCACAGGAAGAGCTCTCCGCCGAGGCCGAACACTAAATTTCTTGTCAGCAACGGCAGCGGCGGCGAGGAAGGTAGTGATGAAGAAGCTGGTTTCTCAGCCTCGGCTGGGCTCTGGTTTTTCAGACCCTCCCGGAGGCGCGAGAACACAACGTGGCTGGGAAGCCAGGTCTGCCACAGCTCACCGTCGCTCACTGGTCCCTCAGCAGCCGCCATCTTGGCCCAACTGCTCTCTTCATTCCAGTTGCCCAGCCCGCCGTAGAGCGCAGCCAATCCGCGGGCAACCGTTCACTACCCTGACCAATTATGGAACGAGAGGCACGAGCTGGGGGCGGGACAAAGAGGGGGCCAGCCCATCAGGCAGGTGCATTGTCAGGGGGCAGGACGAGAAGTCGAGAACAGAACCTGTGGAGAGGAAGCCTTTGTATTAACCTGAGGAGTTTGAGACCTGTGCATCTAATTACCTACTGGACGCCTCCACGCATCCAGAAATTCCCCCACGACTTATCTCCCTCAGTGCAGGTTGAGGCGACTTCTCAAATGTCACTACTTCGGCCACACATCCTTGGGTTGCCCACATCTGTCCCCGCATGGAGCCTGCTAGTAAAACCACACTTCCCAGAATTCCCTGCGAACTACAACCCCCGGAGATCCCTGCGCGCCCCCAGTGGGCGGAGCTTTTGCTGGCTACTCCCGCCCAGAGGAGATGGCAGAGGCGTCCGGGTCTGGGCACCGCACATTATACAAGCTGAGGGGCTCGCCGTCATGGAAAGAGGCTTTCAGGCAGGTGAGTGTGGGATGTGGGTCATGTTTCTTCCCTAGACTTCTCCCAGGGACCGCTGTCCTCTGCCTTCTCCTTAGCCCTGCTCGGTGAAGCAGCAGGTGCGGGCAGCTCCGAGACCCCCTGGGCAGCGTAGGGGGACCTTAAACCCAGGCCTCTTGCTTGGGAGTGTGGGTCTTGGCCACTGCCCTGCTGTCTCCCGGAGTGTTTGGTCCACCGGGTGTAGGATTAGCCCGAGTGGACTCAGTCCCAGGAAACCTTGTTTTTTTGGATTTGGGTGTGTTTTAAGTTTGAAGTGTGGACATGACTGTATCCTTTACACCTTTACAGTAACACCACCTACTGTTGTTGGGTAGGTGGGCACCAGGAGAGGCACTTGTGAGATAGAAATTATTTCTATTCTAGAGAGTAATTCACTGAGGCTCAGAAGAGCCGTAGTTACTAAGTCTTAGGAGAGTTGTGCTCTTATTTAAGTTATGGCCTCTTTTTATTTTTCTTTCTTCTTGTCGTCCTGGGTAGAGTGTCCTGGCGTCCTAACTTACAGCAACCTCAAACTTTTGAGCTCAATCCTTCAGTCTCCTGAGTAGCTGGGACTACAGGCTCCCTCCACAACCCCCAGCTATTTTTTGTTTGTTTGTTTGTTTGGTTTTATAACTTTATTTGATGAATCTGACAATCACCAGTTAGTTCTCATCCACGTTTACTGTCTGTAGGTTTTTGAAAGTGTAACAGGTACTAAAGTATAGAGCCTGTTTGGTGAATCTCATCTTCTTTATGTTTTCTGGACAATCCACGGATACAGTACGGGACATTCAATATGCCTTTGTTGAGCCTGGTATCAATGCGCACATCTGGAGTCCTCATCTCTTTCATGGCAAATTTCTAGATCTCTTTGAGTGCTGGAGGGGCACGCTTCTTGAAACCGACTCCATGGATGGGCTTGTGAATGTTGATGGTGTGTTCTCAAGTCACCATCTCCTTGATGGGAGAACGGCCCTTCTTCTCGCCATTCTTGTTTGCGGAAGCCATTCTGCCGGAGTTGGAAAGAAAGAGCGCAGTCTAATTAAAAAAAAAAAAAAAAAAAAAAAAAGAGCGCAGCCCCCTCCCCCAGCTATTTTTAGTAGAGACAGGTGTTGGTTTTGCTCAGGCTGGTCTGGAGCTACTGAGCGGAAGGGGTTTACCCACCCCAGCCTCCCAGAGTGCTGGGATTATAGGCGTGAGTCCTGGCCACTTTTGAATACAGATGGTTGATAGTAATAATTCCTGTTTCTCCAGGCATCTCTAAAGTAGTGGATATATCTCAGAAACATTGACATTAGAAAGATTATACTGATGTACAAGGTTTCTCAATCTTGGCTATTGGCATTATGAGGGCGACCATTCTTTGTGCTACATGGCTGTTCTATACATTGTATGATGTTTATCAGCATTCCTGGTCTCTACCCTCTATATGCCAATAGTACGACATGTGACAACCAAAATGTCTCCAAGGATTGTCAAGTGTCTCCTGTGGACAAAATCACCCTGAGTTGAGAAACACTGTTGTAGTGGAAGGTGTTACCACAGCTGTATCTAGAGTAGCAAGAATTTGGAAGCAATATAAATGTTCTGTAATAAGACAGTGGATGCTGAGATATTATGAACCCCAGCCATTGAGGAAGCTAGTATAGAAGATATGATATGAAATATGGTGACCTAGAAATACAAGTACAAAGCGTTGTATTTTTAAGTATCTCCATATGGAAGACTTAATATGAAATATGTGATCTAGAAATATAGGAATATGTAAACAAGGTATCATAATTTTACGTATCTCTAAATAGATAAGGATGGGAGGGGACTATGCAAAAATAATAGTAATTAGAATGATAGTTGACATTTTGTGTCTGTAAGTTTCCTTTAATGTTTTACCAGCTAATCAAAGACTTTTTATGTATGTGTGTGTGTTTTATTTTTTTTTATTATTGTATTTTTTTTGTAGAGACAGAGTTTTACTTTATTGCCCATGGTACATCACACAGCTCACAGCAACCTCCAACTCCTGGGCTTAGACAATTCTCTTGCCTCAGCCTCCTAAGTAGCTGGGACTACAGGCACCCGCCACAACGCCTGGCTATTTTTTTGTTGCAGTTTGGCCGGGCCCGGGTTTGAACCTGCCACCCTTGGTATATGGGGCCAGCACCCTGCCCACTGAGCCATAGGCACTGCGTGTGCGCACGCTTGTGTGTGTGTGTGTTTGTTTTAATGGTGTTGCCCCCATCCCATCTTTTCTTTTTCCAAGAGATGCCTGGAGAGAATGAAGAACAGTCGGGTCAAACTCCTAAACAAGTACCGCCAGGCTGGAGGCAATCTGCCAGGAAGAGCTCAGAGCACCTTCTTAGTGCAAGAGGTGATGGAAGAAGAGTGGAAAGCTTTGCAGTCAGCAGATAACTGTCCAGAGAGTTTGGCTCAGGTCAGTCTGGGCTGTGTGTTTTCAGGGAGGGGGACTAAATGCCAAGAACTAGTGTCCTCTATACCTGTTTATGTGAGTCCTCTAAGCCCATTTCCCCCAACCCCCAAGCTCCCAATTAGAATTCCTTTTTATTTTTTGAGACAGAGTCTCACTCTGTTGCCCCAGGCTAGAATGCTGTGGCTTCACCCTAGCTCACAGCAAAGCTCAAACTCCTGGGTTCAAGCCGTCCTTCTGCCTTGGCCTCCTGAGTAGCTGGGACTACAGGTGCCTGCCACAATGCCCTCCTAATATTTCTATTTTTAGTAGAGACAGGGTCTTGCTTTTGCACAGGCTGGTTTCCAACTCCTGAACTCAAGTGATCCTCTCATTTTGGCCTCCTTGAGTACTAGGATCACAGGCATGCACCATTGGGCCCAGCCTCCTAATTCCAATTCTAATAGCCTTTAACTCCGGCTCATCTACCTTTAGTGTTGATAAATAGTTCCTTAGTACTGTAATGTAGACCTGCTGCATCATTGCAACATTATCACTTATGGAAGTTTTAAGAAGAAAGAAATTTTGTTTTTTGCCTTCATCTTTAGAAATTATTCAGTAAATATGAGCTAGAAATCTCTGTTTGAAAAGGTCTCTAGGAACTTTCTGATTCTGATTTCAACCTGAGGTGGGAACTAGGTATGGATAGGAAACCATTTATAGTATATCAAAAAAGAGCACTGGATTAGAAGTCAGGAATTACAAGTTCTATTTATTTATTTATTTCATGTTATTTTTTTAGAGACAGAGTCTTACTTGTCGCCCTTAATAGAGTACCATGGCATCACAGCTCACAGCACCCTCCTACTTTCTGGGTTTAGGTGATTCTCTTGCCTCAGCCTGCTGAGTAGCTGGGACTACAGGCACCCGCCACAACACCCAGCTATTTTTTGTTGCAGTTTGGCTTAGGGTCAGATTTGAACCCACCACCCTCAGTATATGGGGCAGGTGCCCTACCCACTGAGCCACAGGCGCCACCAGCATTACAAATTCTAATCCTGCTTTTGCTATTGACTCCTCTCTGCCTCTTTGAGCTTTAGTTTTAGTATTTATAAAATGGAGAAGATATGTCTGAAATTTGAGTACTATTAAGGAAACATGTGGGAAACTGCATTGAAACCATTAAGGTCCTACATAATAATGATGCACTATTCAGTGGCTTCTTTGTGTCCTGCAATACGCCAGTGTTTACCTTTCCATCATCACAATTAGTGTTCACAGTAACCCTCTCAGCTAGGTTTTATTCTCACTTCACAAAGGCTGAAACTGAGTTTTACAGAGATTAGAAACTTCCTATGTGCTGTGACCCTTTAATACAGTTCCTCATGTTGTGGTGACCCCCAAACAAAATTATTTTTGTTGCTACTTCATAACTGTAATTTTGCTACTATATGAATCATAATGTAAATATCTGATATGCAGGATGTATTTTCATTGTTACAAAGGGGTCATGACCCACAGGTTGAGAACTGCTGCCTTAGAAGAACATATCTTAACTGCTACCCTATACTATTCCTCCCAAAATTGATGCCATTATCTTGTTGTGGATAGTTTGATCATTTGTTGATGACTTAGTATGACCACATTACCCAGTAGTCAGGAGGACTGGACTCATTTTGTCAGATAAATCTGGGTTCTTTGAATGAGCTTCCAAGTATGAATCGTGGACTTGGTGGCTGATTATTACTTCAAACCTCTTATGATTTCACTTTCTCTTGCAGTTGGAGGAGCCAATGAACCTGGCTGTGCTGGAAGAAATCCAGCAGGAGCTGATTGATCAAGGTAGCCCCTGGGAGTAGTCCTTCCTACCTATATTTAGCCACTCTACTGCTGACCTTTCCTTCAGTCAGGATTAGTTCTGAATTCCCCTCCTACTTCCATCTTCAGTCAATTGGCTCTGAACTCTGAAGTCTTAGCTGTCTGTCTTACCAGTAGTAAGGGTCTTCATGATACAAGGGTTTGTGCTAAGAACTTCTCATTTCATGATACTGTTTTCTGCTTGTGACTACACTATAAGATAGTATTCTTAGACTGGAAGGTGGTATTCTCATGCAGATCACACAGCCAAAGTGGTGGAGTTGGGAAGCAAAATCAGTTGTGTGAGTCCAGTTCTCATGTTTATTTTACTATCCTGCCTCTCTCTATTAATAGATTAATAGTAAACCTGTCACTTTACAGGATACAGTGCATGGTCAGATCCCTTGCTGTATCCAATTTAAGCACCTACTCCCCATCCATTCTTTAGGGATTCCCCAAGGTATTGTAATCATCCACTCCTGGAGGTGTCCAAAGCACTGTGTAGGGAGTAGGGTGTATAATTTAGCAAGTCATTTATTCTACCTGGTCTTGTTTTGACTAGGCTTCATTTTTATCACCTGTAAAGTAGAGACCATAGACTACACTGTAAATTTGTTGGAAGACTTAATACACGTAGAAGACTTAGAGCAGTGACTGGCATATAAAAAGCTTTCAGTCATTGATAGCCATTATTATGGGGAGGCAGAAGCACATACTCTCGGGCCACACTGCTAAGATTCACTTCTCAGCTTTGCCGCTTTAACTGGTGTGGCCCTAAGCAAAGCCCTTCATTTCCCTGTTTCTCAGTTTCTTCATCTTTGGAATAAGGATGATAACAGTGAATAAGTAATATATATATATAAAAACTTAAATAGTACTTGACACATAAGTGTTAGGTGTTGTTATGATTGTTATTATTGACTCCAATTAGACAGTAAATTCCTTAAGTTTAGTTATCTTTTGTTTTTCTTTTTTGGTAGGATGAGGTATTGCTATGTTGCTGACTCCTGACCTCAAGCAATCCTCCCATCTCAGCCTCTCAGAGTGTTGGGATTACAGGCCAACACTCTGAGCTGCTGCACCTTGCCAATCTTTTTAAATTGATTTGCCTTTCCCCCTACTTTTAAAACTTATCTTAGTGCTGAAACATAAGACTCACTAAATATTTCTTTTGGGATATATTTAACTAAAAACTCTGAAGTGATAAGGATTCACTGTGTTATTCTATATTGCCATAATGAACATTCTAAAGCAGGTGTTGGCAAATTTTGGGGGAAGAGTCAGATTGTAAATATTTTAGACTTTGCAGTCTTTGTGGTCTCTGGCACAACTACTCAGCTCTGCTGTTGTAGTGGGAAAGCAGTTATAGGCCCTGTGTAAACAAGAGTGTGGCTCTAGTTTGCTGACCCCTGCTTCTAGACTGTGAACTCATAAGGGTAGGAGTCATTTTCATTCATGTACCCCTATGACTAGCACATACCGGGTACTGTTGCATGTTTTTTGAATGAATGAGCATACACATTCTGAACAACACAGGTTTCGAGTATGCAGACATTGGGAAACAGATGTTGGGCCTGGTGTCAGAAGTTAGTGCTTTGTTAAATGTCAGCTTTCCCCAGTTGTCACTGGGACCCTGACATTCCACATCACTGCTCCTGTGGCTTCCAGAGATGTATGTGAAAGTTGTCTCCTTGTCCCTTACTAGTCTTCATCTTTTGTACTCACGAAGATGGGATAGAGGGCAGGGGAAGAGATAGAAGATGAAGCTAACCAGAGAGAACAGTAAATACCAGTGAGTGGTAGTGTGGTTTTACCCAATTTTTCCCTTGTTTGGAGGAAGCCTTTGAAGGTGAAGCATAGTATTAAATACATTAAATTCAATCTGAGTGGCTCGGCGCCTGTGGCTTAAGTGGCTAAGGCGCCAGCCACATACACTTAAGGTGGCAGGTTCGAATCCAGCCCGGGCCCGCCAAACAACAATGATGGCTGCAACCAAAAAATAGCCGGGCATTATGGTGGGCGCCTGTGGTCCCAGCTACTTGGGAGGCTGAGGCAGTAGACTCGCTTGAGCCCAGGAGTTGGAGGTTGATATGAGCTGCAATGCCATGGCACTCTACTCAGGGGGATAGCTCAAGGCTCTGCCTCAAAAAAAAAAAAGAAAAATTCAATCTGAGTTAAACACAGTGAAGCACCCCAACTGCCTTTGCCTTGCAGAACAGTCCATCATCAATGAATATGAGAAGAGCTTGCAGTTTGATGAGAAGTGTCTCAGCATCATGCTGGCTGAGTGGGAAGCAAACCCCATCGTCTGTCCTGTGTGTAAAAAGTAAGAGTTTATAAAACTTTTCAGCATTACTGGTTCCCATTCCCCACTCCAAGGTGAGTGGAATTTCCCCCAAAATTTGTTCCCTAAAGAGGTTTGGTGATCCAGATCTGGTGGCCATGATGCTCTGGGATCCTAATTCTGCTTCTAGGTACAACCTGAGAATTACAGGCGGTGTGGTCATGTGTCAGTGTGGCCTGTCCATCCCATCTCATGTGAGTGTTCCAACACAGATTTCTTACCACCATTTCCCACCTTATATCTACTTTCTGGAAGAACCTCCAGTACTGACTGTGCACATCTCATCCCAATTTCATGTTCAGTGATGTCACATTGGTAGCTTCAAATCAACTATAGTGAGAATATATACAGCATGAAATAGGTTAACACTTGCAAACAGCCACTGCTGCTTGAGATCTTTATCGACATCCCAGTTTAGGATTGGAAATGCCCATATCTGATCTTCCATTATAATTTTCCATATATGAAGACAAACCTAATTCAGAAGTTAAGCTTCCATGATCTTAAAATGCAGGAGCCCTCTCACCTGCCATGATGGGAAATGCAAGTTTGCCAGTTAACTGAGCAATTGTTTAAAATGGCAAATTATAAAAATGACACATTTTATGATAAGTTTCAAACATACAGACTTATTTGCCGATCTTTGAGTGGGGCTCTGCTGACTGGTGAGCTGAGCCATCTTTTTTACATAAACCAACCCTGTAATACATAGCTCTGCTTTCCAGTGTTGCTTCTATAAAGAGATCTAGAAGCTGAGTATATACCATTTTCTCCCTCATTCAATGGCTTTTTTTAATTTTTTGAGACAGGGTCTGTCACCCAGGCTGGGTGTAGTAGCATGATCATAACTCACTGCAGCCTTGATCTTCTAGACTCAAGCATCCTCCTACCTCAGCCTCCTGAGTAGCTAGGATTACAGGCATGCACCACTACATCTGGCTAATTTTTGTCCCTGCATTTTAGAGACAGGATCTCAGTACATTACCCAGGCTGTTCTTCAAACTCCTGGCCTCAACTGAGCCTCTCACCAGCCTGCTCTTTTTTTTTTTCTTTTTTTTCGGGGGGGGGGCAAGTGGGAAGCAGAGTCTCTTGTTGCTCTGGGTAGAGTGCCTCATAGCATTGTAGCTCACAAGAGATCCTCTTGCCTCAGTCTCCCAAGTAGCTGGGACTACAGGCACCCACTATGACACCTGGCTATTTTTAGAGACAGGGTCTGGCTCTTGCTTGGGCTGGTCTCAAACACCTGAGCTCAGGCAATCCACCTGACTCTTCCTCCCAGAGTGGTAGGATTACAGGTGTGAGCCACTGCGCCAGCCCTCTTTTTTTTTTTTTTTTTTTTAACTTATCTTTTTTGATAGCCTAAACTTTTAAGCTTATTATAAAAACAAGACTTTGTTTCCTCCTCCTATGTCACTGGTTTACATAACATATAATTAAATCACCAAGTTCAGTGAGCACAGATTGGGAGCAAACACTACTGATTCTTGGTAAAATTATACTCAGCTAATGAGAGGCTACAAAGTACCCTACTATCTCTGAATGTTCTTTGTTATAGCAATTATGGAGAGTATTGGTAATCTGGAGAGGCAGTTAAATGGAGATTGGTTAAGAGATGTTAGTAAGTGATGGACTGACAGTGTCTTAAAAGCTTCAAGGAATCAAGCCATCTCATAAGCCAGAGTGTACATATATTGGTTGGCAGCAGCAATCAGGTTTTCAAATTGTTTTCAGGTTGAATGTTTATATTTTTTAGTGTCCAGAGTTGACAGAGCAGAAGCTTCGTGCCTGTTTAGAGGATAGTGTCAAGGAGCACAGTGCACATTGTCTCCACACCCCTGAATTTTCAGTCACTGAAGGAATAGAAGATAAGTCCAATCTTCTCATGAGCTGTCTGGTAAGCCTCTTATGGGACCCAGTCTGTGGGAAGTGGGGGGGATCAGTGGTAGGTTTTTTTTCCACCTTGGTAGAAATAATGGCTTAGAAACAAGTAAATGTTTAGTGGTGTTTATTCTGCTAGGAATTTACTTGCACGGAAAAGTGAAGTCACAAGTCATGTCAGCAAAAAGGCCAATCATTCCCTGAAGTGGGAGGAAGAATCAGCATAGGTGTAGCCGGAGCATTGGTCTGGGAATCAGGAATCCAGGCTGCACTGTCTGCTTGTTAGGTCAGCAGCAGAGGTCTTTGGTCCAGCTGGTTATTTCATAACACACAGATAGGCCATCCTGGCACCAGTTTTGCAGAAGATACAGGACAGGAAGCACAGCAGGGTTAAGGTCAGGTTTGTCCCTCAACAAGTCTTCACAGAGGTCCCAGGTTTAGTGCCTAGCCTGACTACCTAAAGCCATGTCACCTCTAATAGTGAGTTGCAGTTTCCTGTTCATGTCTTTGTCCTTGAGGCCAAAGGACAGTGTCTTTTACTTCCAGTGGTTGGCACATAAATAGGTGCTTAATATATTTGTGCAAAAGAGTTAAAGTGGAAGGAAGTTGAAGAGGTACAAGTCAGATGGTTTTGGCTTCTGCCTTAGCAAAGTGTACAAAGGAGTCATCCTGACTATAAGCAGAGCTGAAGTGTGGAGGTCCTTGAGTGTGAAAGTTTCAGACCAAGTGCTGGAAGAGATTGTGAGGGCAATTCAGACTGCCTAACTGCTGAGTGGACAGCTGCAGCTCAGCATTTGTCAGGAACCCCAGACATTCCACTCACCTGAGCACCAATACTCTGCAGCTCAGCACAGCAGTCTTAGGGAGAATATGATTGCAATGCTGGCTCCAGAAGGGACAGGAAAAACATTGTTGGGAAAGGGGATATCACAGCTAAGATGGGAAACAAGAGAAAGAGAAAATTATGGGCAGCTCCTGTGGCTTTGAGTAGGACGCTGGCCCCATATCCAAGGGTGGCAGTTTCAAACCCGGCCTCAGCCAAACTCCCAACTACAAAAAAACAGCCGGGTGTTGTGGCAGGCGCCTGTAGTCCCCAGCTACTCTGGAGGCTGAGGCAAGACAATCGCCCAAGCTCAAGAGTTGGAGGTTGCTGTGAGCTGTGACTCCATGGTACTCTAC